CTTCCATCCAACTCCCTGAGAAGGGGGCACGCAGACAACTCTCTTCCCTGAAAGCAGGGGCCCTCAGCACCCTCCTCTCCAAGGAGGCCTTCACTGGGAGAGCCAAGGGAACCTTCCCCAGGACACGGGGGGCTGGGAGGGTGCCCCAGGGCTGCAGAAGCCCAGGTGCATTTGGTTGCCCAGGCCTGAGAGAACCTCTGGGGAGCCTACCCTTCCCCGGCCTATCTTCTCACCTCTCAGCTGGGTACGGTCTTCCCAGGCTGTGCCGAGACAGGAGAACCGCAAGTCCTCCCTGTTTCAGGAACACCATGCAGCCAGGGCTTGGATACCTCCAGGAACGGAGACCTCATTACATCCAAGGCGCCGATCATCTGGTGGGGCTCCCGCTTCCTTAGAATGAGGCAGCATGGTGTCCACGGCCCTCACAGGGCCCCGGGGACACCACCTCTCCCTTCGGAGGAAGACGGAGCGTCCTGAACCCACAGGTTCCCTGCTGAGCCCAACACCTCAGGCCCTTCTTTGCATGGCCCCGCTCCTGTCCCTGTGCCCAGCCATCCGCACTGCCCTCTGTTGGGTGAGCCCCCTGTTGTCACCACCCCTCTTAGCCGGTGGCCTCAGAACGACTCCAATGATCCAGATGATGTCCGAGCCGCCCAGATGACCCCTTTCTGGATCTGTCCTCGCCAGCCCTTCCCTGTCCCCAGCCTGTGTGCCAGGGACGAGAAACGCCCAGGGCATGCACAGCCCTGCTCTGGGACCAGACTGTTCCTTCCTTGCCTCCTGCGCCTCACTCTCGGGCCTCCCCTGACCTCAGACCTCAGGGGCCAACTGGACTCCTGCTGCCTGGAATGGCTGGCTCTCCCGGCAAGGTCACTTGACCCTGCCTGCTCCTTCCAGGCACTTCCATCGGCCCCCAGTGCCTGGCTTTGCTAGTGTGAGTCAAGGAGTCTGCTCTGGGTTGTAGCTCCTTCCTAACAGCTATGGCCCTCACAGCCCCAGCAACGCAGATCCAAGCTCGAGGCACCAAAGAGCGTGCCAGGAGTCTGAGTGGGGCAGGCTGCTCTGCCCATCGTTCTCTGGTTCGTGGCCTGAGGCCCTGGATGCCCCGTCCAGCTGCCAGCCATCTCAGGGGTATAGCCCAGCCACATAGTGAGCACTGGAAACCGCAGCCCACAAGAGAGTGTCTGAGGCACGTTAACCACACAGTGCTTCCTCCCGGCAACCTACTTCCTCCTCCCCAGTGCCAACCCTGCCCTGCTGCCAGAGGGCCCAGGCTGGGACGGAGAGGCTCCCCACACCCACCCCTTGCTGCTTCCCTAGCTGTGCCCTGTGTCTGCATCCCATGCTCACACGGTGGCTAATTCTGGCGTCTCATCAGACAGTAATTATGGGGGAATCAGCAGCGCTGTCATCGCTGCAGCTCGGCACCTGTCACCACGCCGCCATCCCCAGGCTGCTGGGATGAGACCGGAAGCTGAGGGAGGAGGGGTGCACTGGAGTGAGGGGTGTCTACTCCCTCCTTGCGTCTGCAGCCCCCACCTCCTTCAACCCTACCTACCCACAGGCATGCAATGCATGCCAGCCTGTAGGCTACTAGCCTCCCTGTTACCCAGGGCGGGCACTGAATGCATGTGTCATGTGTCACATGTACACACACCCATGACCAAACAGAGTGGGAAGGACACAGCAAGCCATGGCTCAAGTCTTGCCTCGGCCACGTGCCCTACACATGACCCCGCACAAGTCATTGTACTTCTCGCTGTCAGGCTCCTCAACAGCAAAATGGGGGGAATCGCGTCTGCCTTGGGGAGACAGGAAGAAATAAATATGTAAAGTTTCTAGCACAGCACCTGGCACATGTACGATCACGTATTCACTCAGCAAACGATTAGTACACATCCACTGTGTGCTGGGCCACGTGCGAGGACGCCAAGATAAATCAACCAATCACAGTTCAGCACGGTCACACTCGGGCTGCAGGAGACGCGGGCGTGCTGTTTGGCGCGTGCTGCTTTGCTTTGTTTTCTTTGAATTTTAATGCCGCGAAGGGGCACATGTGGTCTGTCCTCGCCACAGTCCCCACCATTCCCTGTTGCCTCACCCACTGCTTCACCGTGTCTTGCCCCCAAGAGTGAACCTGGACTAGCAGGCTGTGGTACCCAGAGCCAACGGCCATGAGAGATGTGACCCGGTGCTGGAGAAGCTCACGGGGCGGCCAAGGTGGTGCAGGAGGGGCCCTTCAGGGAGGTGCGGGCTACAGGAGGAGCAGGAAGGGGAGGTGGCGATGGGAGGGGGCAAAGAGGATTCACAGAAGCAACGGCTTCTGGAGACAAAGCTGTCCCAGGAGGTGCCTCCTGCTGTTAGGTCTCCAGGCCCCAGGCTTGGGCACCTCCCACTTCTCCAGAACCCTCCAGAATGCTCTCCTGGGTGGTCTTATTGGTGGAGCTATGATGTAAGACCACCTCCCCGTCTCACAACCAAGCAGCTGTCGCAACCGAGCCAGCCACGGAGTCACTCCCCGTCTCTGTGGGTCTGTTCCCCTGGCAGAATGGAGCTCTGCTAGCACCAAAAGCAGCTCTGCACGTGGGAACTCTCTAACGTCCAGTCCCCCTCCCCCTGCCACCCCTACTCCTGAGTCTTCCCAGGGACAGAACCAGGAATGGGGTTGGGGAGGAAGATGAGGTGAACCTCAGAGTTAATTTTCAGTGGCACGAGCCCTGCTTGTGGGACCGCAGACGTGAGGGGAAGGTGCACCGCTCTACACACAGCACGAGGGAGTGAGGCTAGATCTGAGCGAGGTTGGGGGAAGGAGGAGGAGGAGGGCTGAGGCTGCCGTGAGGGCTGATCTGTGTGACCTTGGGCATGTCACTTAACCCCTCGGGTCTGTCCCCGCCCCTGTTAATGCGACAAGAGCGCAGCGCTCACAGGATGGCTGTAAGGATGAAATGAACTAACGCATGGACAGAGCTTAATGTAGCATCTCTGGCTCATATGTTATGGGTCGTTAGTATTTGCATTATTACTAGGGATGACTTCTCCCCGCAAACTCAGCAACACTACATGAGCCCCGACCCCTTGCCAACCCTCCACCCTCCACTCCCTTCTCTTTCGGAGCCCACAGAGGGAGCCCAAAGGTCTCTTCTAGCCAAAACCAGCGTCCACACTGAGGGGCGGACCCACTGTGTCCACCTCCACGGATGCCTCCACCCCCATCCCAGGCGTCACTCTAACCATCCTTCACAGCCCTTGTCCAAAACCCACCCACATCTCATTCCACTCCGGGAGGAAAAGCAGGACGGGTTGCCACCCCTCTTTACAGATGTAGAAAGTAAGTCTTGAAAGGTATGGAGCCCCTGCCTGTGGAAAGATTCCCAAGAGTGGGGTGCAGCAGGGGAGCATTCAGGCCTCAGGGCCGAGGTGGCTCATCACTCCGGCCTCCTCCTGGCAACAGCAAGGATGGGGAGGGGGGGGAGGGAGCGGCACTGTTGCTCTTTTAGGAAAACGGCAATTTTAATTAAGAGGCAGACGAACGAGCGCTCTGCATTTTGTCTCCGAGCAAAGTTATTAAAAAGCCATCAAGGCAGAGGCAGCCCCAGTGGCAAGGAGGGCTGCCTCCCCAGGCCGCCTGCCCGGATTGGGGCCAGAGCATCCTGCAGGGAGCCGACAAGACCCGGAGGACATGGAGGCACAAACCACCAAGACGGGATTCTGCAGCCCCTCTCCCAAAGCGGGGGCAGGGCGGCGCCCGGACAGTACCCAGGGCACCGCCTGCCCAGCCCCGGGGCAGGCCAGGACCAGGGAGGAGGGACAGAAAGGGAACCAGCCATTGGGCAGGCCCTGCCGCGGGCCAGGCTCTGGACTGGCCACTGCTCTCCCTTTCCTCTGAGCAATGAGCCTGGTAGGTGTTCCGGCACCATTTACGGCAAGAACATGGAGGCTCAGAAAGGGACAGCGGTCTCCCCAGGCCACACAGCGAGGAAAGGGCTTTAATGAGGTTTGGAATCCAGGTCAGGCTGACTCTCAAGTCCAGGACTCCAGGTTGCTGGTCCTGGCACAGAAGTGGGGGGTGGGCTCCCTGCCCATTCTCCCTCCCCCAGCCTGGGCTCCCAGAGGCCCTCTGAAGTGGCCTCAGTCCTGGCCCAGCAATGCTGCCCATAGTCCCCAGGGTCACCATGGACTTGAGGGGAACTTGGTCTTCTTGCTTGGGGGCGAGGGGCACACTACGAGAGGGGTGTCATTGGGTCATGGACACTCTATGAGGACACAAGGTACAGAGCATCCGCCAGCAGAGGGAGCAGGGGCGGGTGGGGCATCAGTGGACATAGAGTCATGGCCCTGGGAAGGGTTGGGCACACTACAGTCAGCTGGCCAGGCCACGGGCCCAGGCCCCACAGCTGGTGAATGCAGACAACCCCTTAAACTCTATTGGCCACTGTTGGGCTCTGAGCCTAGCCCAGTGCCCGGCACAGAGAAGGCATTCAGTAATTCTTTTTTTGAATGAATGAGTGGGTGAATAAATGAAGGAATGAACGAAGGACTGAAGAAATGAAATGAGATCTCAGGTTCACAAGTATCTATACACTAAACAAAGACGTACAGAGGTCAGACGAGGTCCCAGCTCCTCCCACCCCCTGCCTTCTGGCCATGGCGGGACCATGGACTTCCTTCCCCTCAGGAGAAGGGCCCCTTGCTCCTGACACCCTCCCCCAAGGCCACCAGTCCCCTGGGCAGAGGGATTCTGTCTCCTCTGCCCTCCCCCGTTACGGGGAAGCTTTGCCACACACGCTAACTCACCTGCGCACACATGCACACGGACGCACTCTACCGGGCCAGGTGCCCTCCCCAGGGTCAGGTCTCTGCTGTCCCCTCCCAGGCGAAGGTCTGGCCCACCAGGGATGGCCCCCTCCCCCACTCTGGCCTCTAGGCTGGGGAGGGGCACCTGGCTGAGGGGCAGTGGGAGTGGAAGGGTGGGGGAGGCCTCCCTCCTGGCTTACGCACCTGGAGACTTTAAACAGAGGGAGCAGAGTCCTGGAGACTTCCCTCCCGCTGCACGCTGGAGCCCTGGGTGAGGGACAGGAAAGGAGGAAAGTCGTGAATGAATGCCCAGAGCTGGGGGAGAGGCGGTGGAGAGAGGAAGGGGCTGGGCAGGGCTCCCAAAGTGGGCTGGGCAGGGGCCTTGGGCCATGGGGGACATGGGGGCTGGGACAGCCAGGCAGAGCCTTAGGGGCAGTACCTTTGGCGTCCCTGGGGGCTGAGGAGAAAGGCAGACCAGAAAGTGGGTGTTGGAGGGAGAACAGGGGCTGAGGGGGCAGACACTGGTGGGAGACAGACAGGAGGACAGACAGCAGGACAACACAGAAAACACAGGGCCCCCAGAATGAGGTCCCCAGGACAGACAGCCTACACGCTGGTTCTCCTCCCAGAAAGGGAACAGACGCTCTCCTGGGATGCCCACACTAGACCCTAAATGACAGCACCTCGGAGGGCTCATCTGCCTCCCCCGCCAACGTCACCCTGTTCTGGAAGGTGGGTGGGTGCAGGGTCAGGACGGCCTGCTGTCATTGCTCCGCTCACAAGCCTCTCCCAGCCCGGGACCCCGGTCTGCCCCACTCAGCCCCTAGCCCTGAGGAGGGCCCCCTCCCCTGACTGTAACAGCAAAGGCCTTTATTTCACACCCAACACGCAGGCACACACTGTGAGAGGGGCCGTGCAGAAAAACGGCTCCCCGGCCCCACACTGCCCGGACCCCTGTATCTCCCTTCTGCTCTACACCCGCCTGACCCTCAGACTGCCTCTTCTCGCCCTCCAGGGCGGTCCTTTCTATCTGTCCTCTCCCTCCCTCCTGCTGCAAGAGTCACCCCTGATTCCCGGCTTCACTTTCTGCGGTTTCAGTGACCGGTGGTCAACTGCAGTCTGAAAATACTCCATGGAAAATTCCAGAAATAAACAATGCACGCGTTTCCAACTGCGTGCCTTCCCAAGGAGCACGATGAGATCGCGAACCCTCCTGTCTGTCCCACCTAAGACGTGAATCATCCCTTTGTCCAGTGTGGCCACTGTGCACGCTCCCCCCGGGTCAGCGGCAGTCTCGTTATCAGATCCACCATCCACCGTCCCCATATCGCAGAGCTTGACACAAGTAACCCTTATTTTACCTAATACAGGCCCCAGATCATTCCCACGATGACTTTTTCAGTGTGTCGTTATGTTTTATTATTAGTTATTAGGTTAATTTCTTACTGTGCCTAATTTATAAATTGACCTTTATCATAGGTATGGATAAGAAGGAAAAAAAAACATAATATATAGAGGGTTTGGTACTATCCGTAGTCTCAGGCACCCACGGGGAGAACTACTATATCTGTCTATTGCCTCTGATCCTGGGGCATGAAGCATTAAGACCAATCCTGCCTGGAGATACTGTAGCCCGGGCATCCTTTTTGGCTACACTTGGCTGGCCAGACCCATCCATACCCACATCACGTCTGGCTGCCAGCATTTGCAGAGCCCCCTGCCAATCTCATAGTTCCAATTTTCCCACCGATTACCCAAGACGCAGGCGTCCCAGGGAGAAACAACTGTCGTATCCAGATGTTGAGACATTGACTAGGGGAAGAAATCAAGAATGCTCACTAACGCGTCTAGCCCCAGAGGGCTTCCTGGGTGCGGCAGTGGGGGTTGTGAGTGGGGCGTGGGCAGAGGGCCACCGGATAGGGGAGAGTGAAGAATCAAGGGGGGAGCGAGGCTAGCTTCCTTCTCACCTCCAGCAGTAATTGGCAGCCCCAGGGGCCTAGCCCCAGACAGGCTGAGATCTAAAACCCAAATCTGGTTTTCTCACAGAAGCCCATTCCTCCAGGGAGAATGGTCGCCCATTCAATCATTCAATTGGATAGAGAGGAGGAAGATGAAGACAGAGAAATTAGTACTTATTGCAGGGTTACCATGTGCCAGGAACTGGGCCTGTGGCACCTCATTTAATCCAGGTTCCCACCCAGCGAGGACACCGCCGTGATCGGCCCCAATGTACAGAAGAGGACGCAGAGCTTCAGAGAGGTGGAGTGAGTCAGGGCTTCCCAGCCCGGACCTGTCTGGCTCCAGAACCTGAGCTCTTGACTACTGAGCTAAACGGCCTCCCATCCATTCTCCCGTCTTGGCTGTCTCCCACTCAGTGCCCTCTGGGAAGTTCTGCTTAAAGTCTAACTTCTTCCTGTCCCATGCTTCCCTATACACTGTTTCTTAAGGACAGTAAGTGGCAGTGAAGGCTTTGCCTCAGTATCTTTCTGCTTCGTCGCAGGGGCGGGAGGCAGAGGATTCTAACCCTGAGCTGCTGATGGGCCAGAGACCAGGGGAAGGAGGCGAGCTGTTGGGTTCGGGAGAAGTGGGCCCCGGATTTCCTGAGCTCCATCATCCAGTGACTTCTGGCTCTCCAGGAGCCCCTCTCCTCCGCCCCCTCCTCCAACATGGAAGAGGCTCAGGAAGCCCCTCAAATGCCTTCTTGCT